TCACTTCAGAAATGTTTTCAATCAATTCAGAAACTACTGAATCATTTAGGAATGTATTGTATCACTTTAGAAATGTTCGAAATCACTTCTGAACGTACTGTATCGATTTAGAACAGTGTGTAATCACTTCAGAAAGTCTTGAATCACTTCAGAAAGTCTTGAATCACTTCATAAATGTTGAGAATCATTTCACAAAGTACTGAATAACTTCAGAAAAGACCCAAAACACTTAATAAATATTCGAAATCACTTTGGAAAGCACTGAATCATTGCGAAAAGTTCACTTTGATAATAATTGAATCACTTGAGAAATGTTCGGAATCACTTCGGAAAACACCGAATATCTTCAGTAATGTTTGGAATCACTTTGAAAAAGTTCATGATCACTTCGGAAAGTACTGAATTATTTCAGAAAGCACTGAATCACTTCGGAAAGTGTTGAACCACTTTAAGCTCGGAATCTCTTGGGATAGTATTGAATCACTTCAGAAAATTTCGGATTCACATTGGAAAGTACTGAATCATCCCAGAAAGTTTGTAATCATTTCCGCAAGAACCGAATAACTTCGAAAATGATTAAATTAGTTAGGAATGCACAGAATCATTTCAGAAACGTTCAGCCTCACGTCGGAAATACTTAATCGCTTCAGAATGTTCATAATCACTTCGCAAAGCACTAAATGATTTCAGAAAGTACTGAATCACTTCAGAACTGTTTGGAATCGCTCCGAAAAGTACTGAATAATTCCAGATAGTTTGTAATCACTTCCGAAAGTACTGAATCGCTTCAGGAAGAACTGAATCACTTTTGAACAGTTTGAAATCAATTCTGAAAGTACCCAAGTAACAATTTGGGTTTTATGAGGGTACTGTAGACCATGATTTAGACTTGTAGAGTGCTTTAAAAACTCAATAAAACTTACAATGTTACTTGGATAATTAATCACTTCAGAAAAAAACTTTGAAATTCTTCGGATAGTATTGAGTGACTTAAGAAAATTTCTGAATCCCTTTGGATAATACTTAATCTTGCCAGAAAGTTTGTAATCGCTTTCGTAAAAACTAAAAAAAAAATCCGGAAAGAACTGAACATCTTCACAAAACTTCGGAAAGTACTTTATCAATTCTCTCAAGTTTGCAATCACTTCTTCAAGAGCTGAGATCATTTTGTAATAACTTCAGAAAAGTTTGGAATCCCTTCAGAAAATATTTAGTCACTTCAGAAAAATCGGAATAACTTTAGGCATCACAGAATCATTAAAAAAAGTTCAAAATCTCTTCTGAAAGTACTGAAAAACGATAGAAAATCTCGGAATCAGTTTGAAAAGTGCTGAATTACTGCAGAAAAACTTCAGAAAGTACTGAATCACTCCAAATAGTACAGACATAATTGAGCATGAGAATGATTAACCGCTCGCGGTTCTCAGAGGCGAACCAGCCTTAAGGCTAAAAACCTCTTAAATAAAGAAAAAAAAAATCCGCTCGCGGTTGCTACTCCGTTATTGCCAGATCACCTATCAGAGAAGCAAAAAACGATGCGTTGGACGAGCATGCATCTGCAATGTGTAAAAACTACTGATCTCATACTTTAGGATAGACAATAACAGCGCCGGCCGCTTCATAATGTAGGTCAATTAGACCATCAAAAACCGAGAGATCCTCCTCACTTCCAGGAATTTTTCAACAGTTTCTCAGCAGGATTTACTTCAGGGAGTATTGATTATTATCGCTAAGCTACTCAATTGTGACACATCGAAAAAGATCTCGACTTTGGCAACATAGATGAAGAACAGCCAACTCTTCACAACTCGATGTCCAGTTACTCGATATATAGTTATATAGCCATCATAAAAATGAGTGTCATGGCTACTGAGATAGCGAATTTGTATGAGATTGTTATTCTATAACTCGATAATTCTATAGGTACCTCGAGGCGTAGAGAGTGCACTGTAGTTACGTTTCCAAAAACGAGATCTGTCTATACTGACATTACATTCCATTAGGAAAGTTTAGAATCACTTTGGAAAGTTAAGAATCCCTTCAGAAAGTACTGAATAACTTGAGAAAAGATTAGGATCACTTTGGCAAGTACTGGACCATTTCAGAAAAAAAGCAGCCAACAGAATAACTTCAAACAGTACTGAACTTTACAAAAGTTTTGAATCACTTCGGAAACATTGAAAGCACTGGATTCGTGTATTCAGCTCATAGCATATTTAATAACTTCAGAAAAGCTTGAGTTCAGTAGGGAAAATGTTGAATCGCTTAAAGATAGACTCACTTCCGAAAATGTTAAATTTTCTGGACTGATTTAATACTTTCGGCAGTAATGTCACGAGTTCTTGGGAACGTTTAAAGCAAGAACCTGTTATAAACGTGAAAACGTGACACTGAAACAGTAAATGTATTGCCTAATAAGGTTTCCAAAGGTAACATCAGTTGTAACAACACAAACATCTCTGGTTCTTATTTCAAAGATTTGCGTAGCGACGATTGATGGTAATGATTTGTAAAACGCCAGAGGTGTTCTGAGTAAAACGTATAAAACGAATCCATATTTATGTATCTTTATTTTTTGTTTTTTTTTTGATTTTAACTATCATCATATCCATAATCTTCCCCTTAATTGGCCTAGTACTTGTAGCTTAAGAAGGGGGACCGAGTGCCTCGGAGAAACAAAAGTTTGTTGCGCCTTTGCACAGTTAGCGCAGTAAGGGCTTCTTACTGCGGAGGTTTTGATTTGATAACATACTGATAGTTTTGGAAATTTTGCTTTGCCCACGAATGTTTAGGAAAATTCTAGAAATTGTTCAAGGTTTTTCCTGAAATTAGGAGAAAGTCAAGCAAGATAAATATGAGATAAATTAGAAAACACAAATGATAGTACTGGGAAAATGTTGACGGAACTTTCATAATCGAACTAATCATAATTTCAAGAAGAAAGGGTAAAGGGACTTAACCACCTGTAGAGTACGGTGCTGCTCGATAAAGTGCAAATGTTTTGCAACGTACTATATAAACTAGATAATACACGTTGTGAAACAACGCCATCAACGTCGCGGGCGAATGCGTCGTTATTTTAGGCAGATTTATATTTTAAGGGCGCCGGTCAATATTGGGTGCGACTACTTAGCTCAAATTTTAGGAACACAGCACTGGGTATAATAAAGCTCATCACGTTGTAGCTTCTTAGGTTAAAATAACGTAGTTTTGTGGACTGGAATTTTTCTGAAAACCGACTGGAAAGTCAGGGAAAGTCAGGGAATTTTGTTTTCGACTTTGAGTCGACACCCTGTAGATGTGAAAATCACATAAGCTTTACGTGAAACGCACATAGACCCAGTGTTATGGGAAAATCACGTACATTTCATTGATCAGGTATGTGTGTTAAAAAAGAACTCCATGTGAAATTCAATTGACATCACATACATTATACGTGAGTCACGTAAAACTGAGAGGAGATTTATTGAGAGATTACGTGATTTTTCACGTAGCTTCAACGTGTAGATTATTTTGAGTGTAAAGCATGGAAACCTGCTAAACTTTTACTGAAATGGTTATTAAACTTTACATGAACGTTATATCGCGAATAGGTTGCCTGTAAATTAATGATTACCAATTTGCGATATATTCCACGTAAAGTTGACCGCTCAACGCAAGATGAAAAGCAATTTTTGAACTTTGAACCCATTTTTCTCAGTTGCTTATTTTGGAACATGGGACAAATAAGCGTAGGACGGCATATCCATAAGAAACAATGTTTTCCTCTATTTTAGAAACCAAAATTAGCAACCACCGCAACTTAAAAAAATGATGCCTATTAATGGATGACGCGCTTTATAATTTACTTAGTAATGAAACCATACAGTTATTATTTTCCAGTAAAGTATAGTAGCAAAACTTTAGATTCACAAATGAAGCTTAAATCAAGATGATTCATTATTTTTTTACTACTATCACTTCAATCCTGTCTGGAATTCTTCAGAAAACGACTGACAATTCAGGGAATATCAGGCAATTTGTATTTCATCATTGAGTCGACACCCTGAATATCCGTGAGCTGGACTCCAGGTATCCGGATTACGGATAGATTCAGATTAAAGTCCCAGCTCTAATGAAAATACATTTTTGTGGGTTCGTTCTATGATAAATTCATCGTATTAATTTGCAAGTCTGCAAGAATTAATTTGTACTATGAAGATAGTGCACATCGCTATCAATCATAGTAACATCCCGGTTACTGCTTAAACTGATTACATGGCCCCGACCATGTGAATGTGGATGCCCGAACAAAGTTAGAGATCAAATTGAAATCAGAATTTGCTGTTATGATATAACTTATTTTGAATACTCCATTTGATCTCATTTTGGTTGACTCAACGGTTAACACAGCAAAAATGAGAGCAAAATTTTACACTATTGAATCAAACGGAAAAATAATTCTGCTTTCAATGAAATCAATTTGATTACTGATTTTGCATTCATAATGTTTGACTGAATACGGGCCTGTCGTAAATGGTTAGCATCCATGCTTCTCACGCTGAAATATTTGAGCTTAAATGTCACCTCGGGCTAGTCATGAATGACCTAAAATGTATTAAACAAAACAAATAAACAATAATCGTTAGTTCAACGACAGATGAACTTAAATCAAATTTTAAACAAGAAATTAACAGCAGAACTTCAAGTTAAGTTGCTTTGATTTAAAAAGTCTGACTGCATAATTAAGACACAATATGATATCAGACTTCTGTCGCGGCATTTGAAATCAAAATGAGTTTTCATTATGATAGAAACTGCAAACTTTAATATCGATTTGCTTTCATTTTGTTAACCGACTTTGCTCGGGTGGTTGGGTACATCTGGATTTTTTTTCTAAAAAAACATCTGGAAAATCAGGGAATATAAGGGAATTTGGTTCCCTTCATTGAGTCGACACCCTGTTTATTTATCTTTTACTTTTCTGCAACACGACTTACCTATTGTCTTTCTGTTTCCAGATGAACGGTACCATGAGCATCCAGAAGCCCCAAACCGTCATCACCGATCTCGGAAAGGCACTTCTCCAGGCAGCTAAAACCGGCAACACGGAAAAGGTTCACGAGCTGATGAGCCGCGGTGCCCCGTTCACAGCGGATTGGGTAATATGAAACCGAAAGGCAGTCTGTGCCGGACATCGAAAAAAGCTGATGTTGGTTCCTATTTTGTTTGTCGCTTGTCGCTTGTCGTTTCAGTTGGGGACGTCCCCATTGCATTTAGCAGCGCGCTACAACAACGTGGAAACGTGCAAGGTTCTGCTGCGGGCCGGAATCAGTAAAGATAGCAAAACTAAGGTCGACCGAACGCCACTTCATTTCGCCGTCTACCAGGGCAATGTCGAGATCGTGGAGCTGCTGTTGAACAGCAAGTGTGAGGTCGACGCGAAGGATATGGTGAGTTGGGGATGGGAATTCGGGGGACTGTTGTTAATTTTTGTTTATCATTTACAGCTTAAAATGACCGCCCTTCACTGGGCGGTTGAGAAGCGGCATGACAAGATTGTGGAGATGCTTTTACAGCATGGATCCGATCCGAATGCCGTCTCAAAGTTCGGAAAAAGCCCCATCAGTATTGCGACCGAAGCCGGGCTGGTGGATTTGGTGCGGATACTGCTGCTGGCCAACCAGATGCGGGCTGCCAGTAGAGAACAGGTAAGCTGTATGGTTGTTAATTTACGAAAAAAGCGCTGTAGTTAATGATTGTAATTTCCTTTTCTAGATTCAAGAAGCAACGGACAATTTGATGTACGAACTCCAACAGCACAAGGAGCGAACCAGCGCGGCTTTGGATGATGGGGAGGACAACATCACGATGGATCTTAGCAACGATGGCAGTATCTCAAATATGTCTTCCATTCCGCGGGGAGGGTTGGAACAGCTCGATTCCAACGACACTGACAATCTCATAGAGAAAGAGGACAGTCTTAGCGATGCCATTATTAATCTGGAACAGAACACCGAACAGGATCCGAAGAATCTGGACTCCAACACGTTGCAGATGCTGAAGGAGCACGGAATAGCGATGATTCCATCGGACGACTCCGGCAGCAGTCTGATCACTTCGGCCATCCAGAGCGGGCGGAAGATTCTGCTGTCGGAGGCGGGGAAGTTCGCCCTCAACGAGACAAGGCTGCAATCTGGTAACGTGGGAGGTACGGCGACTACAGTGCCTTCGACGATGCCCCCGACAACGACGAAGAAAACGATCAAGATCATCAAGAAGACTTCACCGTACGTGGTTTCACAGCAGCAGCAACATCACGGGTTGCACCGGCCGCCTCTCGGCCATAGCCATGCGGGAGGGGGCGGGACAATCAAGACTAATAAGGTTATAAAGATACTGTCGGCGGAGGAATTTAAGCAGATTTGCGGAGGCGAGGTCAGTGGGATTAAGAAAATTTCCTCGGCGGACTACCGGAAAACGGTGCATCAGTCCGGAGTGATGAGGTAAGTTTGGCTTACATTTTGGATTCCTTGTCGATGCATGGGCCTTTTCAGGGAAGCAAAGAAATCTTCCAGTGTAGGACATTTTGTGAAACTTCCATCGGAAGTTCAGCAAACTTTCAAGGGGAACTACCTACATAAACAATCTTTCGTAGCGGAAAAGCCTTCAACGTGTGCTTCCATTCCAGAACACCCCAAATGCTGCACCGATCACCCGGCACATTCAGCTCGTCCGGCGCGAAACAAATCAAAAAGATCGTCATGACGAAAAACCGGCTCACCGGAAGTGTGCCCGGCCCGGGCGAGAACGTCATCTCAAAGTTTAATTCTGTAAATAGCTTCGGTAGTAGTAACAACAGCAGTAACAGCATCATCAACAGCAACCAGAACAGACACATCATCACCTCGGCCGACGGTGTAAAACGGCTCCGGACGGCAACCGGAATGGAAATAATCTCGAAATTGCCCACCAAGATACCCCAGGACACGGTGGTATCGGTGGAGGGCAATAGTGGTGTGATAGGTTCCCGACAAAGCACCGGCATAGTTCCTATCTCGTCGGTGAGTCAGCAGCAGCAGCAGCAGCGGGTGGTAAGTAGCAATTCGAATTTAAATTCTTCCAACAATTCCGCTCTGGGCGGAGTCAGTAGCAACGGCAGTAGTAGTACCGGTTCGTCGATGACTCTCGGCGAACTAGAGCGACATTTCCTCGAACAGAAAAAGCAGATGGACGATCTGCGGAAACAGTTCGAACTGTCGCAGAAACAGAACGAAGAATACCGGGCTCGCGTGGACAAACTAGAGAAGGAGGTGCAAACGCTGAAACAGAGTAGTAGTAATAATCCTAACAACTTTATAGAGATACTATAAGGTAGCTAAAAGTGAGGAGAGTTTAGAGATTATTTATTGTTTAGTTTTCCGCGCTCTGCCCGTTTATATAGAGAAAAAAAAACACAGTTGGAACTTTTTATTGGTTATACATGTACTTTTTTTTTAGAATCGGTTTAGATTACGCGATTTCAATACCTGAACTGAGCTCTCGACGGAAAATATAATATACACACAATAATACGTTCGTTTATTCCTTAAACCCGTTCTGTCCCAATTCCACTATTTTTGCCGCGAATTTTATGGTTTTATAGGTGTAAGCTAGAGTTGAATGCAATAGCAAACGCGATTTTTATATTATGTTACTAGAGGTTGTGCAGACGGATGGTCGGTAAATTTGGAGGTGAGTTTTGAGTAAAAATCTACTATAGAAAGTTAAATCAAGATATGCGCACCTGCTTGGTACCTACATTCTTGGAGGTTAACTGTGAAGGCAAGACAGGCTCGTTCGGTTGAGCCTCCACAGTGAGAGATCAGTGGGTGATTTTATGAATAATTGTGTCCTTCAAAATTTGCATCTGGACATGATATATGTCATGAGAGCATGGATGTAATCACCCCAAAGGGGTGGTCACTTTACACACTCATTTTGCGCCAACTTTTTTTCTCAGGCTCTGAACCATTTGGCGATTTTTTTTAACTTTTGGTTAAAATTTGACAGATGGAAAGTTATCGATGAACCCTGCTAACCGAGCATGGTTATTTCTGTCAGACAAGAAGTTAAATTTTGACAACCTTGGGTTGAAAACCGGTCGATTGAGAGCACGGGGATTTTCGAACATAGAAAATAACTTTCGAAATGTCACTTTTAACCACGAGTTAAATTTAACTCAGCAAATGGTTCACACACGCAGAGAAATGGTTTTTAAGTTCAAATGGATATATTTTTGACTCAGGGCCTAATATATTTTTGATATTGTTTCAAATATATTATTCGGTTAATTCAAAGAAAAATATTTTTGAATCAACAAACCGGTTGTAGAGTCAATAATCTGTTTGTTGATTCTAAAAACCATTTTGTTGATTCAAAAACATGTTTTGTTGAAATAGTTATACAATATGTTTGAATCAATAACAAAATACATTAGGCCCTGAAACAAAAATCCAATTTTCTGCGTGCAGCCGTGTGCCGCAGCTGTGACGGTAGTACCGAGAGTACCAGTCATCTGACTGATATTGTTGGCTTGTAAATTTGTCAGTTCAAATGTTTTGTTTTGAAGCAACAATACAACTAACAGTGGAATCCAAACCAAGAGACAATGATCCAGAGGCACTCCAGTAGGACTTGTTAATACCGGACAAACTGGCCCGACCGGAAGATGGTGATCAAGGCAATATCGAAACGCTTCTATGGCATTTAAAATTTACAGGCGCTGCAGAAAGCTTCTGCTGATGTTTTAATCACTGGAACAGACTCACACTATCGATTCAAAACATCCGACGGTGTATTTTCGAAAGCAATGAACTTGACGACAGCGTGCAATTGGTCATCTATCAACTGTATTTTTGGCACACTGTGTGGAGTGACCAACCCCTTGAATCACCCAGGTTCTTCTTTTCGTTCGAACCGTATTTTCCATTAAAAATTATGTTTGTATGGAAAATACGCTTCGCACGGAAACAATGATATGGGTGGATAAGTCTGTGCTTCAATAATTTGTGTGACAAAGTGTCATTTTTGTAACTACTCGCAGCTCATATCAAATCTTGAATTATAGTTCAGACCTTTGGCCACAAACAAACAGACATACACTCGCAAGTTGTTCATCGAACAAGCATTTAACGGTCAATTTAAAAGTATGGTAGTTGATTGTACCGCCACCTGTGGCGCGCATAGTCAATTGCCTTGCGTTTGACATTTACACACTACCGCCATCTGTTCAGCGGTAATGTTTTAGCGACGATGCTTTACAAGTGATAAATGTTCAGTGTGTTATGTCTGTATGTCTGTGCTTTGGCCATAATTTTGATAGCCTCGATTTGTGCATTGAGTTTGTTCAAGGAAGCACTTCCATGAGTGCAACATCAACGGTTGCTAGGGACGTAGGGGAAATGTCGGCTTCGGCAATAACTTAACCTATTATCGTCAGGGGGTAAACAAAGCCTCAGAGCACATACATTTGGCCAATAGTTGCTCTGAAGCACAATGTATCCACATGCCAAAATTGAGCTCTCAAGGACGTTGTTTACCCCCTGACGATAATAGGTTAAGGTATTGCCGAAGCCGACTTTTCCCCTACATAACTTAATACTGAATTTCTTTTTGCTCAGTTCCAACCTGGATCGGGTATCAAGATTGGGGCTGCCTGGTTTCTGACAAACGTCAGTTTGATCGTTCGTTTTTAAAACTTATCCCAGAGAACCTCAACGCATTGACAAAAAGTTCGCTTTCGCACTGGGTTGGAACTGGCTCCGACCCAGATAGAGAACAAATTCTCTATAAATTAAAGGGTTTTCATTAGTCGTTTAACCTTGAACAAGTTGAGACGTTCTTTTCATTACTCCCAATCAATGACATTTACCCAATACTGATCAGAAATCTGGTTGTTGAAAGGTAGCAAGTAGATTATGGAAGCAGACATCGTTCCGAAGAAATCTAACTTGAATATCCTAGTTTTCTCGGAAGCTGGAGTGTGCAAGAACCGGCTGACCAGTTCTAATTACGAAGATACAAGCCAAGTACCAGCAATATTTGACTCGTTCCTAATGATGACGCACTCGTCATGACAATAAATTTTTTTAAAACTTTGTTTTACCATCATCCCTAGAGGGCTGGAACTAATGTGTGCGGGAGTAATACTCAAAAATAGTCGAACATATTAAGTGCGTCGATTTTGAAACCGCTTCGAATGTGGTGCCTCCAGCATACGAACAGACGTGGAAGTACGTCGATCTCGGATCTCTTTCAAATGGCGTGACGGATGCTTGGCGAGTAGGAGACGAACAAGCGCTGGTCACGATACAAGTTCGCAATGGAAGGCTATCTAGACGATCTAAACGGACCGAAAGTGACCCTGTTGAAGCAGATCACTTATCAAAATTTCGAATTGGATGATGAAGGCTTATTTCACAGGAGTGGAACTTCGGATCAGAAAGTGGCTCCACTTGTCATTTGCGAACACTAGCGCACCTAGCGGTAGAAGGCATCTTCTGCCTTCAGTTATGATAGACAGCATGTTATGATAGTGTGAGTGCACATAGAAAGCCCGTGTGGAACGCTACCACAACACATCGCTTGTTGAGCAGAAAAACGAAACACTTTTTGATTCACCGATTTGTTTGCACTTCTTCTGTTCTGTGCTTATTTGCAAGGGGGGTGAGACAGGTTTACTCTGAGTTGCTTTTTAGCAGCGAGTAACTCAATGTACCTCAATATTTAATCGACGTTCATTGATTTTTTTTTTCTCTGCTTACTCCGTTTACTCTCTTTAAGAATATGCTTGTCATATTAGACGTCAGTTTTGTTTGTAAACAAAGTAAGCCCTGAGGCTTTCGAATAGCTTGAATATTTTGCAAGAACCTGTGTCGGTGCCTGCTTACTACCAGCAAGAACTTGCAGTTCCAGCCAGCTTACAGCAGTTGTTCTTCCTCCTCAGCAGCCAGTCCCAGTGGTCACTTCAAAAAGATCAAACAGCTATTCTTCTAAACATCTGGGATTTCACCTACAACGCAACAATCCCATCAGCATCGATTGATCCAGTAGTCGTAACAGTAGTCCCATTGAAAATGGTAATAACTAACTCCGATCCCCTTCTCGTTTTTTGGAGGCGAACCAGCCTCAGGCTGAAAGCCTCCTAAAGAAAGATAAATCAATCAATCAACCCCTTCTCGTTAGCACCATTCAAGTTAGCTACAGCGTGAAGATTCAATCACAGCATATCTAACATAGCGTGGTGAGCAATATTCCAACCGTGGCGCCCTTCAATAAATTCCGCCACTACACTTTCCGATTTAGAAAACATCTCCCCGGTGGGGTAACAACCGATTAACACCCAATTCCAGCTCCGACGGCAACGCTACCAACCATTACCCCCGTGGAATGTTCAGCCAAAGCAGCCGCCGCCATTTCCGAAGCCGAAGAGGAGGAGGACGTTGAAGAAACCGCTACCAAAGTGCGATCCTCGTCCGGACTTCAAACCCATCAACGGACAACCAGACGAAATCAAAGTGAAAACCGATCGAAGACGATGAACAAATCAAGCTGACAGATTATCTTCGTCGACTTTCTCTTTGCATTCCCACGGCCAGGTTAAGACCAAGTACAGGATCGTCATGAGACGTGATCAAGTTCATAAGATCGCTACCATTCACGCCATATCGTCAGTGCTGTTCATAAAACAGATGGAGACGAACAACAAATTCTGCACCCGCTATGGACTTCAGCGTTGCCAGATTGTTTTCTAACTTATCGGTATCAAATGTTCAACAAAAAATGGGTATATATCGGTATTTACTATGTAAGTTAATTTTATATTTTTGCCCTTTTTGAAGGCGAAAACTAAAACTTGTGGACTTAGTACGGAAAAATTGCTTTCCAGGAGAAGTCGGAAACAATTTCCGGGGAATGTTTGAATTAATTTGTGCAGGAAGTCGAAAAATCTTCCAGAGACAAAATTAAGAAGCTCTTCTGGATGAAGTTTGAACAAAGTTCTAAGAAAAGTCGAAAAAACATCATGGATGTAGTCCAAAACAAACATTGAGAAACGTCAGGCAAAAATTTGAACAAACTTTCAGAAAACATCGGTTGACACATCCAGAGGAATCCAGAAAAGTATCGGAAACAACAAAGAAGCTCTAACAAAGATTACTTCATCGGAAACAATAAAGAATTTCTAGAGTAGCCAATTCCAGAGGAAGTCGGAAAAAAATCTACGGAGAATGTCTTCTGGAGAAATATCCAGAAGGAGACGAAAACAAACTTCTGGGAGAATTCTCTAGACACATTCGGCAGAAGTTTAATTAAACTTCCTGGAGAATATGGAGGAAACTTTCTGGAGGCGCTATAAGAAACTTCCTAATGTATTCCAATCTACCTGGAGAAATTTGGAAGGCACACGGAACAGTCGGAAGAAACTTTAAGGAGTAGTTGGGGAAAAAAAAATCCGGAAGAAAGAGATCTCTTTAGTTCTTTATCCGGAAATTTTCCTAATATAGTTTTCGGAACATTCCGAAAATACACTTCGGAACAGTGTTGGGAAAATATCAAAAAATCAAATCTCACCAATGCCCAAGATCACGCTTGATTTTCGTAGGCAAAAATCAGCAAGCATGCAGCTGCGGTTGATTTTGTAAGCTGTGATATCGCAGCTCGGAATATCAAGCTAACGAAACTCACCAGCTGCAAATCTCAACAAACTGTGGTGAGATTGAGTTTAATGATTTTTGCTTTACACCCGAACGCAACCGAAACTTCCAAAACGGCTGGCAGCAGTTTTTTCGTGTCTGCCATCGGTGAACAGTAAAAAGAGATAGCAAACTATACTTTCTCTTTCTAAGAAATCATTCCGTTGATTTTTGTATCTAGTCAACCCTCCGCTTGATTTTTGCACGTTTTGAATAGTCTCGCAATATCGAAGGAGCTTGTAAAATAAATATCAAGCATGATATTTTGTTCCAATATCACGCGTGATATTGAGAGCGTATGAGAACGGAAAAACATAATTTGATTGATGGTTTTGCCAATACTGCTTCGGAATATCCCATAATTCCTCGGAACTCCTTGAAAGTTCCTGCAATTTTCCTGGAGTTAATGGGACTGTTTTAAAGTTCTCTGATCATTCTTGAAGTACTAAGAAACCATCGGAAAATCTCTTAGCTTCTTTGAAGGTCTCTAGACTTTCTTGAACATTTCAGAACTTCTTAAGTGCTCTCAGAATTTTCTTAAAATTCATGGAACATTCTCGAAACTGCCATTTTAAAGCACGGACCTTCCCTTAAAATGTTCTCACAATTTTCTAATGTCCATGTTACTGTACTTCCCTTACGTTTTAAAATTTTGTATGAACCTCTGTCATGAAATTTGCTGATGTTTTTGGAAATTCCCTAAGTTTTCCGGAACGCATTTAATGCTTCAAAAACTCCCTTGACATTAATTGATCTATTCTGATGTTCTCAGCGCATCCCTAAAGTTCTCTCAATGCCCCTGAAATAAATGGAACCGTCATGAAAACCATTAAATTTCCCTTAAGTTTCCCGGGTTCTCGAATTTTAACAGAACTGAAGTTTTTCTGAACCGCAATAAAACTGTAGAAGCATCCCTGAAGTTCCGCGGATGTTGGAAAACTAATCTAGCGGGAGAAAACGGAAGAACCTTTCGAGCGAAGCC